ACTGACTGAGATTATATTGTATTTACTCCAGACTTTGCTGGAAGATTACACTAGGGGATCTTATTAGTTCATATGATTAAAAAAAAAAGGGGGCATGGAAACAAATTTTCCATATCTAACAGTCATAGAGTTGGTGCATAATGTTCCACCTAAATGGGGATTGTTTAATGTAGCATTTATACTTAGGCATTGAGAACCAGGGCTTACCAGTGAAGGAAACAATCAATTTCCTGTAAGATTATGGATATTAATATCAAAGTGATAATATAAGCACCAGAAATTAGGCACAAACAGATAATAATTTAGAATTCTCTATGGGGCGAGGAGGGAAAGTTGCTTATCCTTCTAAGTCTGATATATATGGTTGCCTGTCCCAGAGCGAAGCTAGAAATGATTTAGCTGTTTGGTGCTGCTTCTATGTGGATGCTACATAGGGCGTCTTTAATTAGACTTAATAGTACAGCTTGTTTCAGGGACTTTCTTTTCTTTCTCTTTCTCCATTCTTACTCCGCACCTCTGACCTGCGTGACTTACTTTAACTCACAGACTGTAATCTTTGGAAAATAGTATTAGAAATAAATTCTTTTCATTCTCCTGGTTAGTGTTTGAGCTCATGCTCTCTCACTTACACATATGCCTGACATTAAATGATGATTTGCTGTTCCATAACATGTATGCAAGGAGAACTGATCACCATAATTTAACTATGTAGTTCTGCTTAGTGGCAATATAGAGAAATTATTAATTAGCTAATTTTATAATAGAATATACAGAAGCTCCTTTATAGCCTTGGGGCAAAGTACTGTAATTTACCAATATCATATAAGTTAAATTATGAAAATGAGACTTATAAAGGCAAAGATATAAAAAAAAGGAAAGCTGATAATCACAGGATTATAATATTGAAAAGGTGAGAACGAGACACTGAATTTGAGAACTTTTAGCCTTATTTTCTTATGATATTTTTGTTTGTGACTCTTTATAAGGTCATTTGCAATGGGTCCCAGACTGAGAATTATGGCCAGATAAATGAAATGGGAAATTAATTTGTTTTAAATGACACTAGACATTATCATGTACTTCTCCAGCCCAATCACACAAATGACTTTGAATAAAGCTCACAGACCTTCTAGAGATAGAAACTGGCACACCCCATGTTAACAGACTGTAGACTTGGTGAGGCTACATCAATATGCATAATAGAGAAGAGCAAAGATTAACTTACTTGAACAAACTTTGGTTATATTCCTTCTGAATTTGAAGATAATTTTTTTTCTCTTTCTAAATGTTTTATTGAGTTATAATTGACATGTAAAAATTGAACATAAAATGTTCAGTTTGATTAATTTTGACATATATATTCACCCTTGAAACCATCACCATAATTAATATAGTGAACATATCCATCTCCCCACTGCACAAATTTTCTTTGTACCCCTTTGTAATCAAGCTTCATATACTTTCCTGCCAACTCCTCATCCCCCCATTCCCAGGCAGCCCACTGAACTGCTTTCTGTCATTATTCAATAGCTTGCATTTTCTAGAATTGTACATAAATGGAATCGAACACTATGTATATACTTATTTTTGGTCTGGCTTATTTCACTCAGCTTAATTATTTTGAAATTCATCTATATTATAGTGTGTATGAAGAATTGCTGGGTAGTATTCCATTGTGTGGATATACCATGGTTTATTTATTCATTCACCTGTTGGTGGACACTTGAGTTGTGCCCAGTTTTTGGCTATAACAAGTAAAGGGATATGAACAAATCTTCATATGAACATATGTTTCCATGTCTCCTGGGTAAATACCTAGGATAATATGATAGATGTATATTTAGTTAAAAAAAACTGTTAAACTATTTTCTAAAATATTTGCACCATTTTACATCTCTGCAGACTCATATGAGAAATTCAGGTTCTATATCTTTACCAACACTTGCTGTGGTTATCTTTTTAATTTTAGGCATTCTAACCAGTGGGTCGTTGTGTCTCGTGATTTTTCTTTGTTAATATGGTGAAGTACATTGAGTTTTCTAATTGCGCTGATTCATTATTTTGGCTTTATAATCCCCTTTGTCGTGATATATATATTATTTTGTTGATATTCTAAAAGAACCAACTTTTGGTTATATTGAGTTTTGCTATTTTCTATATCATTGATTATTACTCTAATCTTTTTTTCCTACCTACTTTGTATTTAATTTATATTCTATTTCCAGTTTCTTAAGATAGAAGCTGAGATCATTAATTTTAAACCTTTTCTCTCTTCTAATAGAGGTTTTTAGACCTATAAATGTCTCCCTAAATATTGCTTTAGTATAAATTTGATATGTTGTGTTTTTATTTTCATTGTGTTCCAAATATTTTGTTTTCCCTCTTTATCTCTTTAAACTCAGGGATTATTTAAAAGTTTGTTATTTAGTTTCCAAATATTTGGAGAATTTCTAGAAATCTTTTTTTATTTAAATTCAATTAATTAACATATAGTGTATTATTAGTTTCAGAGGTAGAGTTCAGTGATCCCTCAGTTGTATATAACACCCAATGCTCATTACATCACATGCCTTCCTTAATGTCCATCACCCAGTTACCCCATCCCCTCACCCTCCTCCCTTCCAGCAACTCTGTTTGTTTCCTATGGTTAAGAGTCTCTTATTGTGGTTTGTCTTCCTGTCTGATTATATCTTGTTTTATTTTTCCCTCCCTTTCTCTATGCTTCTCTGTTTTATTTCTTAAATTCCACATGAGTGAAATCATATGATACTTGTCTTTCTCTGATTGACTTACTTCACTTAGCATAATACCCTCTAGTTCCATCCATGTTGTTCCAGATGGCAAGATTTCATTTTTTTTGATGGCTGCGTAATATGCTCTCTGAACACATTGGAATTATAAATCAATTAGAAATATTTTTTAACTGATATATAATTTCAATGTGTTCAGACAGCATCTTTGCATAAAATTCTTTTAAATTAAGACTTAGTTAATGGCCTAAGTGAGGTCTATATTGGCAAATGTTTCATATGAACTTGAAAAGAGTATGTATTCTATTGTTGGGTGGTATGTTCTATGAATGTTAATCCAGTTGTTTGATAGTATTGTTCAAATCTTCTCTGTCTTTTTTTTTTTTAAAGATTTTATTTATTTATTTGAGAGAGAGAGAGAATGAGAGATAGAGAGCACGAGAGGGAAGAGGGTCAGAGGGAGAAGCAGACTCCCTGCTGAGCAGGAAGCCCGATGCGGGACTCGATCCCGGGACTCCAGGATCATGACCTGAGCCGAAGGCAGTCACTTAACCAACTGAGCCACCCAGGCGCCCAAATCTTCTCTGTCTTATTAAATGTCTACTTGTTCTAGCAAATGTTGAGGAAGAGATGTTGGAATCTCCCACTGTAATTGTAGACTTGCTTTTCCTTTCTGTTCTATCAGATTTTGTTTTATGTATTTTGAAGCTCTGTTATTAGGATATATATTTAGGATTGTTATGTCTCCTTGATGAACTGACCCCTTTATCATTGCAAGTGACCTTATCACTGGTAACATTACTTGCTATAAAATTTACTTTCTGATATTAATATAGTCAGTCTTTCTTTTGATTAACAGCACAGTATTTTTTTTTATCCTGTTTCTTAACTATTCTTTCTTTATATCTAAAATGTGTTTCTTGGAGGCAGTGTATATTTGAGTCTTTCTTTTTTATCTAATATGATAATCTTTCTTTTTAATTGAGATATTTATTTATATTAATATGCTTATTGGTATGGTTAGGTTTAAATATATTTTCCTGCTATTGTTTTCTATTTTTTATCCTTTTTCATCTCTTTTCTGCCTTCTTTTGGATCAACTGAATATTTTTATAGTTCTAGCTTACGTGCTTAATTTGCTTATTAATTATACCTTTTTGTTGCATTATTTTAGGATGTAGAATATGCATCTTTAATTATCAGTATAACTTCAAATGATGTTATACCACTTCCCATATGGTATGTGAACCTTACAATATTACACTGCCATTTTTCCACTTCCAAATTTGTTGCTATTTTTGTTTTCTTTTACATATGTTTAAAATCCATATTATAATACTATTTTTATTTGAGCAGTCAATTCTTTTCTTTCTTTTTGAAAATAATATTTACCATAGTATTCCACAGTTTTTTTTTCCTCCAGCATATATCCGGAGCTATATCCCCAGCTAAGGCAATTAAATAAAAAGGTAATGTGTAAGAAATATAGTTGAAATCATAAGATACTTCTTTGTGTGTCATCATAAAACATACACTTAAATTTTAAAAATACTGTCTCTTTAAGAAAAAGTTTTTCCTGGTAAATAATATGCTTAGTCACTGCCCAAAATTGTATACAAATGTTTATCCTAAAATATTTATGTATGTAATGGTACATTTAAGACTACCTTTCTTATACATTTAATTTATAACCGGGTTACTCCATATGAAGTATATAAGAATATATGTTATACATGCCAAATAAAGTAAATAAAATGGAGAGATTTTTTTAAAAAGGAAAAGTCCTCTACTTATAAGCTCTACACAGAAAATCAGTGTAATTAGTGAGATCATGTAAAATGTCTGAAGAATTTTAATTTGGCAAATATTTTCCAGGACAATATCTAAGCTATGAGAATACTAAATGCCTATTGTAAGAACTCATGTTTCCATTAAACATTCAGCAAGATACTGTGGTCTCCTTAATGTATACAAAAGAGGATTTGGGGGGTTTCTAAAAACAACAACAACAACAAGTCCCTCAGTTTTAGCAAGTTAGTTACACCTTTTAATCAAGTGTGTGTAGCACAGAGGACCAAATCTTGTTCCATAAGTGTTAGAAAATATTTAATGAAAGATTTCACAGACAGAATCTGACTATCCTGTATTTGAAAGGGCACAGAGCAGGATTTTATGAAAATAGAGGGGATTAGCTCCCAGAGTGGCTGGCCCAACCTGTTAAAAAACAAAACAAAACACATCACATTTTCTAGTGTTTTTTACTGTAATTTATTTATTTCAAGCCACAGGTCTACTTTTGGGGTTCCCATCAGTCATGCAGCAAGTGGTTTATAAATAAAATCAGAGTCTATGATAGCATCATCATATTAAGAGGCAGACTTGCTGGATTCTTTCATTATGTAAAAAGCTCACATGTTGGGAATCCATCTTGGTATTATTATGGTATACCTGAGATATATCTTGCTCCAATTAACATTATCATGCTACTCACTATAAAAAAGCCCAAGGGCAGACTAGAGAAGATGGTAGGATCGCCATTTTCAGACTGAGTTATAACCCAGCCCATTGACTTCATCACAGCTTTCTTCCACGTAGCATAACGAATTTCACTTTCTGTCACCTTGATCTGTGGCTCGAACCGTTCCATAATGATGACTGACAAATCCTCGGGTTTAAGACTCCAAATGCCCACCCCTTCTGCAGCTCCTGCAACCATGGCAGCTCCCAGTGCAGTTGTTTCAGTCATAGAGGGCTTCATTACTGGAATATGCAGAATGTCTGCTTGTAGTTGCATAAGAATTTTGTTGTTGGTCATTCCTCCATCTACCTGCAAATGAGTGAAGGGAACTCCACAGTCACGGTTCATGGCATCCAAAATCTCTCGGGTTTGGAAACAAACAGATTCTAATGCAGCAAAAGCAATATGATTTTTACTGGTAAACTGAGTGAGACCACAGATTATTCCTCTTGCACTGGGCTCCCAATATGGTGCATATAACCCTGAAAAGGCTGGCACAAAATAGCAGCCGTAAGAAGTACCTACGTCTTTAGCAAGTGTTTCAATTTCTTCTGAGGTCTTTATAATTCCAAGATTGTCTCTTAACCAGCGAATAACAGCACCAGCTATAGCAACAGAACCTTCCAGTGCATAACATACTGGCTTGTCTCTGCCTAGTTTATAAGCCACTGTGGTCAGAAGGCCATGTTCAGAAAATACACACTTATGACCTGTATTACATAGTAAGAAACAGCCAGTCCCATACGTGTTTTTGGCTTGTCCCTCTTGGAAGCACATTTGTCCTACCAGTGCAGCTGACTGGTCCCCCAAGCACCCAGATATCGGCACACCTTCCAAGGTCCCAGCTTTCATTAGGCCATAAATCTCAGAAGAGCTCCATACATTTGGAAGAATGTCCATTGGAATCTCAAAAAAGTCACAGAGCTCTTTATCCCATTCCAAAGAATGGATGTTGAAAAGCATTGTCCTGCTTGCATTTGTTACATCTGTACAATGGACACCTCCATTAACTCCTCCTGTCAAACTCCAGATAAGCCATGAATCAATGGTACCAAAAAGAGCTCTACCTTCTTCAACAGCCTTTTGAGCTTGCCTCACATTGTCAAGAATCCAACGAAGTTTCACTGCACTGAAGTAAGTGCTAAGTGGAAGGCCTGTCTTGGACTTGACAAAGTTATTATTTCCTGGAATTTTTTTACTAAGATTTTCAACGGTAGGCTGGGTTCTTAGATCAAGCCACACCACAGCATTGTAGAGTGGCTCTCCAGTTAACTTGTCCCAGATTACAGTGGTTTCCCTCTGATTGCTGACACCAATAGCTTTTATGTTGGATATATCAATGTTCAGTTCAACAAGTTTCTGACACGTTCTCTCTATACACTCATAGACAGACTGAAGAATTTCCTTTGGGTCTTGTTCCACCCATCCTTCTTTTGGGAACTCTTGTGTTAATTCCACTTGATGGTGACTAAGTAGATCCGCTGTTTTTGAATTGAAAACCAGAAAGCGAGTGGAATTAGTCCCTTGGACCACCGCCCCCACCAACGGCCCCACAACTGCTTTCTTCTGGGCTGCCATGAAACCAGTCGGCCGCTCTGCGGCTCTGGTGCCGTTTCCAGGTGATGAAAGTGTTGTGGGGGGGAGGGGCACGCAACACGTCAGGAACGTCAGGAACGCCAGGAGCGTCAGGAGCATCAGGGGCGTATGCACGCAGCGGCTGCCTAGACTCAACCGGAGGCCCGGAAGCCTGGCGGGCAACGTTTGCCCTCTAACTGGCGCTGCATCTGCTCACCCCACCCCTGTGGCAGAGGCACGCCCAAGCCACTCTATTTTTTAAGGAGATTTAAGATACAAAAAGATCATGCATTTACCTATATAATTAGTTACCAGTGCTCTTCATTTGAGTCTGTGAATTCGAATACATGTTATCATTTTCTTTCTGCCTGTAAGATTTTCCTCAACATTTCTCGTAATATGGGTCTGCTGGAAAAAAAAAATTCTTCAAACTTGAGAATGTCTGAAAAGTATTTCATCTTAATATTTAAAGATATTTTCTTTGATATAGAATTCAAATTACTTTTTTTTTTTTTTTTTAATTTCAGGACCTTGAAACTGTTGCTCCACCACCTTCTGTCTTGTGTTGTTTCAGGTGTGCACTTTGCTGTCATCCTTATTTTTAACGTCTATCTATTTATCTTTCACTGCCTTTGGTTTTTCTTTTTATCAGTAGTTTTGGTCAGTTTCATAATGATGTTATTTGGGGTAGTTTTCTTCTTATTTCTTGTGCCTGGGGCACATTGGGCTACTTAGATCTGTGGGTTTATAGATCTCATCAAATTTGGAAAACCTTGGGCCATTATTTCTACAAATATGTTTTATTTTCTCTCCCTTCTGTGCTTTAGGGACTCCAGTTACAAATATTGGGAGTTTTCCCACAGCTCATTTTCTATGATTCATTTTAGATAGTTTCTATTGCTATGTCTTCAGTATACTAATCTTTTCTTCTCCAATATCTAATCTGCTGTTAATTAATCCACTGTATTTTTCACCTCATACATTGTAGTTTTCATCCCTAGAAGTTGAGTTTTTAAAATATTTACTTAAGGTTTTGAATACATGGAATAGTTAAGATAACTTTTAATTACGTTTTCTGCTAAATCTAACATCAGTGTTCATTCTTGTTCAATTGTGACTAATTTGCCTCCTCATTATGTCTTATATTTCCCTGCTCCTTTACATGCCTGATAATTTTTTATTAGGTGCCAAACATTATGAGTTTTACCTGGTTGAGTTGCTGGATATTTTTGTGTTCCTATAAACTTTGAGCTTTGTTTTGGGATACAGTTAAGTTAGCTGGAAAGAGTTTGATTCTTTGGATTCTTGCCTTTAAGATTTGCTGCTGGAACAAGGACAGTGCTCAGTTTGGGGCTAATTATTCTCCTTTACTCTGATGAGATCCCTCAGTATAGTCTACTCCAGGCCCATGAAAAATGAGGTTTTAATGGCTGGTGGGAATAGTTTCTGTTCCCAAGCCTGGGTAAACACTGTTTATCTTTATTGGACACTGTTATCTTTAATCTTTTCATGTGCATCTTTCCCCAGACTCAGCTAGTTTCCTCACACACATGCACTGATCAATACCTGACTGAATTCTCAGGGGGCACCTTCTGAAGATTTCCAGAATTCTCTTCTTATATAACTCTTTTCTTTCTGTTCACTCTAGATGGCTTCATTTCTCTGGATGCTCAGCTCCATATCCTGTTCACTCTAGATGGCTTCATTTCTCTGGATGCTCAGCTCCATATCCTCACCACAAGGCTTTTACTCACCCCAGTGTTCCACCTGGGTTTGACTTTCCAGTGCTGTGGCCTTAAAACTCTCTCAAGGATATAAGCTGAGGAAATCATAGTACTCATGCCACTTGTTTCCCCTTAGGGATCACTACCCTTCACTGCCTGATATCCACCGTCTTGTGAACTGTGGTTAAATATTTTTGAATTATGTAAACTATTTCATATATATTTTTTTCTTTTTAAAAATTGTTTCAGGTGATAAATGTAGATAAATTTACTCTGTTACCCCATCTTGGCCAGAGTAGAGGCCCACTGGAATGAAGCTTAAATTTTCAGATTGATTGGAAAGTTGGTGAATAAATATTCATTTACTCACTAATTTAAATTTATTAAATATCCGCTCAATAAATGGCAGTTTTCTGTATTAGGCCATAGACTCTGCTTTTAAGGTGTCTCAAGGATAAAGGTCATTTATCCCTAATGAAATCAACAGAACAAGATAGAAAATAATATAAAAATCAACAATAATATTGTTATTTTACTATTTTAATTAGATCATATTTTTCTTTTAAGTAAGCCCTTCGAGAAATTTTTTGAAGTCAAAAAAGCAAAATTAGTTACCAGACTTAATTTGAATAGTAGTGGATTGAAATCATCAGAAGATGGTACAGATTTTCCTGCTCATATCTTTGTTCAGATTTTAAAATTCTACCAGAGGTTTTCTAAGCAGAAATTTAAAGACAGCACTTACCAGTATGCCAGTTTACCATACTATGCTCGAATTCACCAGAAACATTGTTTTTAATTTTTTTAATGTTTCTTTTCTTCCCAAGTATTTGGCAGTAGTAAACATTATATGTGTACATAATCTACACAGTAAAAAGATTTGACCCAAGGTTTTTTCCTCTACATCTCCTGTCCTCTGCCCCACCAATATATTCAGACAAATGGTCCTAATCCCATTAGTTTTTAAAGCTAGAAATACTTTAAGCATTTGTTTGTTAGTTTGTTTTTTGGTGCAAAAAGCTGTTTTTATTAAAGCATGGGGCCAGGACCTGTGGCCAGAAAGAGCTGCTCACTTTAAGCATTTTGTCTTTAATACAAGTAACTTATTTACAAAGGCATCAGTTTCAGTTTATAAAAAACTGGTTTACATATGAGTTTCACATTACTGGCTACTAAATTGTAGCCACTAAATAATCATATAATAAGTGTCTCAATTTAGATTAGAACAAAAAGTTGACCAGATTGAACAAACTTTCTTAGAGCAATTGCAAACTATTGATGGATTTAACCATCATAAAGCTGACTAACAATGCTTTATTTTTTTAACTATGAAGATTAAACTAACTCCACTATTTTTTCATTTCAAAAAAAATTTTAAAACACAAAATCTTTTTCTTTAAATTTTATTTTTGTTATGTTATGTTAATCACCATACAGAACATCATTAGTTTTTGATGTAGTATTCCATGATTCATCGTTTTCGTATACCACCCAGTGCTCCATGCAATACGTGCCCTCCTTAATGCCCATCAGTGGGCTAACCCATCCCCAGCCCCCTTCCCTCTAAAATCCTCAGTTTGTTTCTCAGAGTCCATAGTCTCTCATGGTTCATCTCCCCCTCTGATTTCCCCTCCTTCGTTTTTCCCTTCTTTCTCCTAATGTCCTCCGTGCTATTCCTTATGTTCCACAAATAAGTGAAACCATATGATAATTGACTTTCTCTGCTTGATTTATTTCACTTAGCATAATCTCCTCCAGTCCCATTCATGTTGATGTAAAAGTTGGATATTCATCCTTTCTGATGGCTGAGTAATAGTCCATTGTATATATGGACCATATGTTCTTTCTCCACTCGTCTGTTGAAGGGCATCTCAGCTCTTTCCACAGTTTGGCTATTGTGGACATTGCTGCTATGAACATTGGGGTACATATAGCCATTCTTTTCACTACATCTGTGACTTTGGGGTACATACCCAGTAGTGCAATTGCTGGGTCATAAGGTAGAGCTCTATTTTTAATTTTTTGAGACACCTCCACACTGTTTTCCAAAGTGGCTGTACCAACTTGCATTCCCACCAACAGTGTAAGAGGGTTCCACTTTCTCCACAACCTCTCCAACATTTGTTGTTTCTTACCTTGTCAATTTTTGCCATTCTAACTGATGTAAGGTCCTATCTCAGGGTGGTTTTGAGTTTCCCTGATGGCTAATGATGATGAACATTTTTTCATGTGTCTGTTAGCCATTTGTATATCTTTTTTGGAGAAGTGTCTGTTCATGTCTTCTGCCCATTTTTTGACTTGATTATTTGTTTTTTGGGTGTTGAGTTTGAGAAGTTCTTTGTAGATCTTGGATATCAGCCCTTTGTCTGTAGTGTCAATTGCAAATATCTTCTCCCATTCTGTGGGTTGCCTCTTTGTTTTGTTGACTGTTCCTTTGCTGTGCAGAAGCTTTTTATCTTGATGAAGTCCCAAAAGTTCATTTTTGCTTTTGTTTCACTTGCCTTTAGAGATGTATCTTGAAAGAAGTTGCTGTAGCTGATGTTGAAGAGGTTACTGCTTATATTATCCTCTAGGATTTTGATGGATTCCTGTCTCATGTTGAGGTTTTTCATCCATTTTGAGTTTATCTTTGTATAGGGTGTTAGAGAATGGTCAAGATTCATTCTTCTGCATGTGGCTGTCCAATTTTCCCAGCACCATTTATTGAAGAGACTGTCTTTTTTCCATTGCATATTTTTTCCTGCTTTGTCAAAGATTATTTGGTCATAGAGTTGAGGGTCCATATCTGGGCTCTCTATTCGCTTCCATTGGTCTATATGTCTGTTTTTGTGCCAGTACCATGCTGTCTTGGTGATCACGGCTTTGTAATATAGATTGAAATCAGGCAGCATGATGCCCCCAACTTTGTTTTTCTTTTTCAGCATTTCCTTGGAGATTCAGGGCCTTTTCTGATTCCATACAAATTTTAGGATTGTTTGTTCCAGTACTTTGAAAAATGCCATTGGAATTTTGATCAGGATGGTGTTGAAGGTATAGATTGCTCTGGGCAGCATAGATATTTTAACAATGTTTATTCTTCTGATCCATGAGCATGAAATGATTTTCTATCTTTTCGTGTCTTCTTCCATTTCTTTCATGAGTGTTCTGTAGCTCCTAGAGTTTAGATCATTTACCTCTTTGGTTGGGTTTATTCTGAGGTATCTTATGGTTTTTGGTGCTATTATAAATGGAATTGATTCTCTAATTTCTCTTTCTACAGTTGCATTGTTAGTGTATAAGCAAGCAACTGATTTCTGTGCATTGGTTTTGTATCCTCCCACATTACTGAATTGCTGTATGAGTTCTAGTAATTTGG